GCATCGCTACTAGGAGCAAGGACGCTACTAAGGGCTCCTGGCCTTACTACTAGGAGCAAGGAACAATGTGGAAGCATTATTCCCGGATTGGGGGAATAGGCCGTGTGGAGGTGAGGTCGGTGAGGTAGTTTAGCTAGGTAGGTAGCTAGTAGTAGCTAGGTAGCTAGTAGCTTAAGTAGCTAGTAGCTCCCTTAAGCTACTAGTATGGACGCAGGATAGCTGACGCTCGCATTATTCATTTGGCTCCTAGATTTTTAGGGAAACTTAAAGACGTGAGACTGCGCAAATGTGGGGCCATCTAGTGAAACCAACCAGTTCCTCTTGATGCAACCCACCTTACCTTTGAGGTTCCCGGCTCAACTTCGTCCAGTTGCACAGCCCTCGGTTTGACGTGTTGGACTCTAAGGCCCGAATCAGGGAGGTTCGAAAAGGGCGTTCCGAAAAGGGCGCACCAAAAGGGCGGTCAACGTGCTGAAAACATTCTTCTTTGCGTAACTTAGTGTGCAACAGGATTCAGCCTTGTGGAGGAGTGGGAGAAGGAGTCTCAAACACTTGAGAAAATGTGGCAACCCCTTGGATTGGGACCTAAACGGAGTTGTTGCTCATTGACCAAACCCGGTTTAAGGATGAGACAAGAGAATGTTCTGGGTTGTTGAACTCAAGCTGCGGCTAAGGCGATTTGACACCAAGAAGACTGGCATTTCAGTATCTCTGATCTGTTGACCTGCTGCCAGCTATATGTTGTGCATGTACAGTACTAGGTACGTACATACTACATCTAGATCTTCTACTGTAGCTTTTCTCTGCAGGCCTAAAGGTCGCCAGCATGTAAGTGAAGTCCTTGTTGGTGTCAGAAACACTTGTCCTTTTCTCTCATACTGGCTTAAACAACAAAGTACGTAAGGCCAGTGGTTCAGAGGTAGCCGAGCCAAATCCAGCAAAGTCTTGAGACATGGCACCCAGAGACACAAGCAAAGGGCTTCCTCTTCACAGCTGTCGACACCATAGCCCCATCGGCCTGGCAGCCTACCCTCTTTGTCAAGCACAAGCTGGGAAATTAGTTACTGAAATCCCTGAAATAGTTAGTATTGAAAGTCTCAAGCACAGCACATCTGGCATGCACAACGTGTGTTTTTTGTATCTAAACATAAAATATTGCATGCTTGAAGATACGTAGACGTAGACATGTCTATGTTCTGACTGACATATCTAAAAACACGAGCCCCTCGGCCATTACGGAGCGCCTCATTCTTCAGGGCTTGGCGCGTTTCCCGCCTGCGGCGCAGCAACCTCAAGCAGTTTGTGATGGCATGGTTATTCCAGCACAGCGACCCTTGATTCAAACTTTGGTCGTCGAAACCAGAGGCGGACAGCCACCACATACTTCTGGCCATCCGGACGTCTTGCGGCTCTCTGGAAGGAGGACACCTTTGGCGGTCACCTGAACTGGTTGATGACGGGACAGGGCACAAGAAACAGTCTTATGTATTCTTATCTCTTGTTGAATCAATGACCAATCTGACTACGGAAATGTTTGGTAAAGTAACTTCATAAGCTGTGAAGTGAGTCTGTATTAATATCCGAAAAGTTATATAGATTAAAAGTTCAAAGACTTTAGAGTCTGGGCCTAGCTCAACAATGGTGTGCAACAAGCTGACATTGCTTCTATAGCTTGCAACCTTGGGACAAACCTGATGAGAACTCTTCGATGCTGGTCATGATCAAAACAAAGAACAAAATGTGTCCAAACATAGAGCTTTTGACTTTGACTGTGTACAGTGTCCATGCATCTTTGCTCTCAAAATCATTTGCTTCTGATGGAGCCTTAAAACATGTTTTAGCCGCGCCTTCAAGCCCAATTCCTTCAGCAGGCAAGGTGGGGAAAGCCTAAAACATGAAGAGCATGCTGAGAACTGATGGCTCTGGTTGTGAAGGCTGGCAAAGTAGAAGGGTACGAAGACTTGGTTCTTGGACACTATTGTTGGCTCGTATACTGGCTAATTTATGCTGCTAGTGTCCTTCATCCACACATCAAGTCCTTCAAGAATAGAGTCGATTGAGGGCCACTGTGTTTGTTACAGCTTGATAGGCATTGCGTAGCCACAGATTTTTGGGAAGGTTCATTCCCGAACTTTACTTCAAGAACCGTTGCTTGGATATTTTGGGACACGTTGTTCTAACCGCCGCTCACCCAATTCAAGCGGTGATGTGCCATGATGTGCCGTAGGTCAAGACTCGCTGATTGTTATCATGTCGAGGTTGGATGTTGTACAAAAGTTCTCATTGGAATGGATGACCATCTCTTTTAAGTTTGAACCCACTAATTACATACACTATCGCTCGGAACTGGGAAAACATCACAAAATCAGTCAGCTTCCACAATTCTCTTGTGACAATAAAGGATTTCCATGATAATTAGCCCTGCAGCTGGGTTCTCCAAACCCCTTGCGAGCGGGCTTTTGTGGCCTCTTCAAACACCGAGGAGCGTTGATGGGAGCAAGCTCTACAGTAATCATATCGAGTGCTCTTTTCCCGGTTGGTTGTAGTGGCTTTACGGTAAAACTATATCAATCTGAAGTCTGAAATGTAGATATGATATGGTTCTGAAAAGAGTTTTCTGACAAAAAAATGGCACGTATCATGTATGAACATGTGTATTGAGTATGTAAATGTAAATCTATCTGTCTGTCTCTGTCTGCCTCTGTCTGCCTCTGTCTGTCTCTGTGTCTCTCCGTCTCTGTCTCCGTCTCTATCTCTCTCTCTGTCTCTCCCTCTCTGTCTGTCTGTCTGTCTGCCTGCCTGCCTGTCTGCCTGTCTGCCTGTCTGCCTGCCTGCCTGTCCTGCCTGCCTGCCTGCCTGCCTGCCTCTCTCTCTGTCTGTCTGTCTGTTTGTCTCTGTCTGTCTGTCACTGTATGGATGCATGCATCAACGCAATGCAATGAATGCAATGCAATGCATGTATACGTACGCCTTTGGAACCAAAACCATCCAAAACTCCTATGCTTTTTGTGTGTCTTATATCGTGTTTGGCCTGTTACCTAAAACATGTTGCTCTTGCTCCTGACAATACGTTGCAATTGTTCAAAGCACAACGTTCCTATCTTGTTGGAGAAACAAGAAAAACACCTGTAGAAACCCATATGCGCAGGGAGTCGACAAAAGTTGCCGCTCCTTGAGACACCATTTATGTTTGTGCGGGTTTCATGCCACAAATTTTGTGGTCTTACGTAAACGTTGAGTTTCGTGGGTCACGTTGATCCAGAACTGGTACTGCCTTGGAGTCTCGATACTTCTCACCCAGGAGTCTGTCAACTGCAGGAGTGATTCCTGGGGTATCTGTTGGGGACTAACAACCATCGCAGGCCATCAACATAGATGAACATTGCATCGTATTGCATCCTAACTGCACCAGTAGTAAGATCAAGCAAAACAATTATGTTCAGTCTACCTCCACATGCAGCAAACAAGCTGAGCTTTACCCTGTCGGCAAATGATGGCAAATGCATGCCCTAAGAGGTTGATCATGTCAGGTCATATCAGTTGAACACCAAGCCAGTGTCTAGCAGGACAGGCCACAGTCTCAAGATATCCAACCCAACAGGCGAATGTCAAAAGTCAATGCACCGTAGAAGGCGGATGTGCAGTCTTTGTTTTCCTCCAAAAATCCTCATGAACTGCCCCATCTGAGCCTTTCAGCAGGGACTTTGGTCCTTGCGGATCTGCCGGAGATTTAATTGGATCTTGGAACTAGCTAGCACGAGGACAACTTGCACACTAGGACACAATGTAATGTATCATGAGTCATGACAAACATGCATCTAACCAAAAATATATACGTTGCATTTGTGCAACATGCTCCAACAGTCCAACAGCAATGAACACTTGAATCAGAGGTTGCCATGTTCAACACAGGCTCACCTGGTTTGCAGGACCAATGGGGAGCGAGAGTTCACCGGAGGTCACTGAGTCTCCAGCTCAAGCGGTTCAGGCATGTCTGCAGAGTCTGCCATGTTCTGGCTGAGATCAGCTTCACGCTTCACTGACCTTGGGTGGAGTGCTCTCAAATCCCACAAGCCACTGCGCTCGGAGTGAATAGGAGGGCGCCACGATTCAAACGACTTTACAGTTGTGTGTTTGGAGATGTGCAGTCCCAAATCTTTCAATAACAAAAATTAAAGAAAAAACTCAGCGACGGTTGGCCGGGAGCATGGAAGGAAAAATTATGTACGTAGAAATAAGAGGCGTGTATAAATACATCTGAGGTTTATAGCTGCATTTGCATGTGTGCCACAAGATGCTACAAGTACGCGCAAACGCACGTATCTAGAGTTGTTGCTATGGCTGCTATGGATGTAGCATAAGGACTCGTGGACACCGCCAATCATCCCGCTCCCCACCACAGCGCGCCGAATTTACACCAGCGCGCTTTCCCCCAATGGCAGGGGCTCACGCAAACGCACTTTCCACCGTGGCCGCGCAAATCCGCATCACAGCAATCGGAATTTGGCCAATCCCGGGCGCTGCCAATCATCCCGCTCCCCAGCCACACGCCGAATTTACACCAGCATGTTTCCCTTCCCCCAATGACACGGACTCACGCGAACGCACTTGCCACCGTGGCCGCGCAAAACCGCATCGCACAGCGACATCACAGACGGAATTTGGCCACACAGTGCGCCACAGACCATAATACAACGTAACACGCTGAATTTATACCAGCACGTTTTCCTTCCCCCCAATGGCACGGACTCACGCAAACACACTTTCCGCCGTGGCCGCGCAAAACCACATGGCACAGCGACATCACAGACGGAATTTGGCCACACATTGCATGTGCAACTAAGCATCGTGGGCACCCTCAATCATCCCGCTCCCCACTGACATGCCAAAGTTACACCAGCATGCTTTTCTTCCGCCATCAGTCCTGATGCCACAGCTCCAGAGCTGCTTCCCGCCCCGCACAAAATGTGTACTATAAGTGGCAACTCTGATGCCACAGCTCCACACTGAATCAAGTGGCTAGTTCTGCCACTTCGGCAACGAAATCTGCACTTCACCACACGCTTGAGCACTCGTCACGCACGATCTCCGCAGAGGGTTGCCTCCAGCCAAGCCAGGATTCGCACTTCACCGCACGTTTGAGCACTCGACAGGCACGATCTCCGCAGAGGGTTCATCCAGCGCAGCCAGAATTCGCACAATCCCCGCAAAGGGTTCATCCAGCGCAGCCGGAATTCGCATTTCACCACACACTTGTTGAGTACTCGACACACACCATCTCCGCAGAGGGTCGCGTTTCGCAAGCCCTGTCCGGCCAGGCCCCGACTAAGGAAGAAGAGATAAATAGCCGAGATATATCATATGTTTTACATTGTTTTACTCGATGTTATATCATATGTCTACTTGTTCATATGTGTTTGCTGCAGCATGGGTCCAGCGAAAGTAATACTTGTTTTGCATATGGTTTTACCTATATAAGCAAGACTCCAGCGAAGGTTATACTTGACTTTAGCCTTGACTTTGCATATTGACTTTACTTAAGCAACATCCCAAAGAAAATTATCCAAGCAAGATCCCACCACCAAAGCAACTCACCAAAGCAACTCACCAAAGCAAGATCCCAGCACCAAAGTAGTGCTAGCGAAAGTTATCCAAGAAAGACCCTAGCGCCAAAGCAATCCGCCCTAAGCAAGATCCCGGCACCAAAGCAACTCACCAAAGCAAAATCCCCGCACCAAAGCAATAATAGCGTAGCAGCAGCTCTACACAACCATGCCTGCAAACTGCAAATGTACTTCTAGCATACATATTGTAGCATATATACAACTGCAGCTGTATAAGTTGCAAATGTCTTTGCAAATGTATTACCCCCTCCCTAGCAGCAGGTCCAAAAGACCACACATGCAAGCTGCAAATGTACTTATATCATACATACTAATGCTGTTGTGGTAGAAATCCACGCATGCAAGCTGCAGATGTAGCTTATAGCATACGTATACCATGCATACCAATGAAACTATGAAGAAAGTTAGTGATGCAAATGTGTTACTATATATATGCAAAAGATTTCTACAGAAGAACCCTTCGCAACGCTCCCGGGAAAAGCACAGTCCGACAAACACATGCAAGCTCCTTGGACCACATCATCAGCAAACAGTCCTAAAAAGCTTGTGACGTACAGAAAACACAGGTCTAACATACACTACACTTCACGACTCTTTTGACGAATATTCGGATGACAGTGAGTCTCAGGCAAGGGGTTTGCAGGCAAACCAAAGGGACAGCAACTCTCAAGGAATAGCTAGCATCTATGATTCTGGATTAAGCCGTCAACTCGGTTGTTGCAGCATTGTTCTTGCCTTGATCCTCCACGGACCTTGGACTTCGACTTGCTGTGACTTTGACTTGGCCATATCAACACACACACTTGGGATGAAGCTAGGAAGGGGGGCTTTTGCGGTGGAAGGTCTAAAACGCGTTAGCCCTTTATGCGTACTGCAATAGACCTTGGCTGAGGAACACTCACGGATGGAAAACAGTTGACCTGGTTACACTTAACAAGCCTAAAGAAAGAAGGGAGCAACGAGAAAGACATATACAGTAATAAACAAAAAACACAAACACAAAAGAAGGTTGAACACTCCACCAACAGGGGTTGATACACACACACACCATGCAATTATGCATACAGACATGGTCATAGTCATTGTGAAGGATAAAGTTGCGCAAACCAGAACTGAAAGCTCACAATGGGAATGGACGCAGACTATTCGTCTATTGCACACGGATTCAGACTAAGGAATGACGATGTTTGAAGTGTGCGGTACAAACAAACCAACCATGCATGACAATCACTGGGCAAAAAACTCTGGCACTTCAGCTTTGCTCTCGACTGCAGCCTGGCCCCGTGCCGACCTTTGAGATGATCAGAGCATCCATTGGTTTAGTGACGTGGACATGACATCAGGCAGTTGTCAAGTTTGAATTTGGTGGCAAAAGGGAGATAGATCGCCACTTGTCTCGCTTTCATTATGTGTATAAATATATAAGTTTTTGCACTGATACATGGGCATGGGTGCAGGAACACACCTGTTTCAAAACAATCAAAACACTTGGAGCAACTCAAGTACTGTAACAAAAGTGTTCAACCACAAACAATACAACGATCAGGCGTGCTCAAAGGTCCTCGATAATGAGCTCTAGACTCAGGTGCATCAACTCTGCCACCACTCAAGCCGGTGGTCAGCCTCAAATTTTCTGTGCGGAGTTGTCTTGACATGACCGACTCCAAAGAAACAGTTATTTGGTTAGAGGCCATCGCTGGTTGGAGGCCATCGCTATAAGGTAGCAAACACATCCGACTCCAGAAGAAACAGTTTCACTTTCGCTGAGAGATTAGCGCAGGTCCGTCTTTCTCGCTTTTCCCCGCACCCTCATCCACTGACCTTCACACAAAGTAGAGTGTTGCGCATCAACAGAGCCACTGAGCAGGCAGTAGGAATGTTCAGTAGGCCTGTTCACTTCAACAACAGTCTAGAGAGTGAGGCGGATATCCTACTTTCTCAATTCAGCCAGCTCTCTAACTCCTGACTTTTGCAAGTGTAGAGTGTATATGGTACTGATTGCATGTTCAGGAGCAACCAATTGCAATGATCTCCATGAACGCCTCAGCTCCTGCCTCGTGCTTGGCTCCTGTGCACGCGCGATGACGCATGAGTTTGACCTCACATAAGCACCATAGCGTCTATCGCAGTAGTGTTGCACGACCTCCTCGGCTTTGGAACCACAATCACTCAGTCCATTAGTTTTGGCTTGTTTCCGTCTGTTTTCAAAGCGGGATGTTTAGGAAGTGCGGTTACAGAGCTGCAGCGACAAAGCACCCTGCGGCGAACGCATTGGAGAGGCCCTTTGGCAAGTGACTGCCAGGGCCAGGGCGGTGCGGTGTACATTCGAGGTCTTGAAAGTCCCATGCCATGCATGGCATTCGTTCACGGACGAATCAAGCAAAACAATGAGAGTGCACTCGCTGCCGAATGTGAATGCAACAAGCCATATTAGCCCCCCCTCCGACACCTTCTGGCTGCCATTGCCATCAGCATCCATGAAGAAACAAGATCCACTCCAAAAAATAGCTGGGCATGATGCCGAACATGCCTACTTATAAGAATTTGCACTAAGTCACCTGGAGCTTGCTCTGTAATGCTCTGTATGTTGTGCAAAGCGACTCTTCAGACACTCTCATCCTGCATGATCATTTGATCCCTCATGTTGCTCAAAAAAAGAAAACACATGCGCGAAAAAGACCCATGTTGTATTTGGGGAATTGTCAGGAGTAGTAGTTGTCTAACAATGTTCTATGTATTTATAAGTGTCTTCATGATGATGTGGCATGCAATGGCCTGCGGGTATGATCTATTTTTCATCAAGTCCTTCTGAATGCAAATGATGACGGTTGGTTTGCTAAGGGGGGTCATCACCAGGGTCAGCTGGTCAGGAGCAGGTCAAGAATGGCCCTGGCAGAATTGTGAGAACCCAATGGGTGTCAACACAAAAGCTGAGTCAGTGTGAACATGACATCAGCGTCAAAACTCAAGAAATCTAAGGAAAACCGATTCAATCATGCCCGATGCCTGCTCTCGCAATTCCATGAAGTGTGCCGGCTCCGTTATCGCGCTTATTTTTTCGGCACCTCAAGCAATCACAACTTAGACTGTGATCCAGCAGTTCACAGGCTTCAATGTCAATAGGATTTCCACCGATGTCTTACCTGCTGCCATCTGCCACCGCCAATGCCTGAGACCTGGCACAGCCTATCGAAAATGAAAAGGTAACACAAGAGCCGCTGGCTGCAACGAATGCAGTGCTGGAAGTCGAACAAAAGCTGCATTCCAATGTCTATTCAATGCAAAAGCTTCGTGGCCATGGAGGACACGTACCGACTATCGGACTTCCGATTGGATCCTTTCCTTGGACCATCTGCACACCTTTATGGTCAACATGACCGTGATTGACCTGTAAACAATGTACTTGTCAGCATCTGGCGCAGTAATTCATGCCTGCAATGCTTAATCAGGTATATTGAGCCTTTTGCAGTGTCCTGTTTTCTGAGAACAGGGTTAAAGTTTCAGATAGATTCACCATGTTTCATTCAGGTACGCACCACAGATTCCAGGTGCTCTTCTTTGCCAATTGTCCAAGCAGTGAAATCATCCTTAGTGTTTAGCCAAAAGTTTCACCCTAAGTCCTCCGTCAGGCTAGGTCAAGTTCGGCAAATATACGTTGAAGTTACATAAGCTTTAAATCACGCATGGCAATGGTTCGGAATACGGATGTCTGATATCTACGTATATATAATAAGTATATTTACAATAATTGTAGGGCTATAATATTATATATACATAAGTTGCCTTCTGCTGCTCATCAGTTTTATTGGGTCATTCAAACCTTGCAAACCTGGAAAGAGCCAGGCAGTTTGCATTTACAAGCACCTAATTGGACAGTCAATGAATGATGTTTTGCCTTTGAATTGGCTTGGCAGTAGATATGATTTCCGCCAGGATAATCCCCGAAGGCATATTAACCTCAAATCAAAGGGCAAAAAATATGCAACATAATGACGGACAGTCGGTACAACTCCGTCAAAAGAACAACCTCCTGGCCCGATGTGATGCACAAAGTCAAGTTTATCCCTGTCCTGCAGGCTTGCGCGCGTCAAAGATTCAATGCTCAATCAACCCGCCCGATGCGTCCATGGTCGGACGCCCTTCCCGGGTGATGGCATCTGTTTGGAAACTGTGGTGTGGAGTCTGTTCAAAGAAAAAAAAACATTGACAGCGTAGAACATGTGGCCAGGCAGGCTATCCTTTAAACATCTAAGGCAATGGCCAAATCCAAGGCCTGTGCGGAAATTGGTGGGCAGGCACGTCCAAAGGCCAAACATGTAGTGCCCTGTTTGAGCCCATTGCTAGATACTCCTGTACACAAGTCCATTTCCTTTTGACATGAAACGACTTCAAGTTAGATTCTGTTAGATGACTTACAAGAAATTACGGCAACGGACGCCTTGCAATAACCGGGTCTCAAATATCTGCTCTCTTCAACACAGACCGCTCGATGGGACGAGAGTGAACGAGAAGGACAGACTTGATTCCACAAGTCTCCAGAGACACCGTGGGGCCGTGCTGTTCTAGCAACGCACTCAGCCAGCGCAAAAGGTCAGATGTTGCCTGGAGTTCTTTCAGAGTGAACCAACTTGGGAACAACAGAAAACAACTACAGTTTTGGCCAGTCCATGGTTACTGTTGGTCAGAGTCAAACACACTGCGTTCTGTTTTTTTTTTGTCAGGGGTCTCTCACTTAGCAAAGGGAAACCGTCCCTTCTCATCCCGATCCTCCTCTTTGCAGGGCGAAGTGTTGTATCCAAAGCTAGGCATCACACGCACCCAGCGTACTTGTCGATCGTTATAAGCAACATACGCGATTCAAGACTGACCGTACAAGGAGTACAAGGTCTGTCCTATTGAGTTATACACTAGCTTGCACGGGCAGAGTCACACTTGCGGTATCCAAGGGCCATTCATTCACATTTCTTTATACAAAATTCACAAGATCTATCAAGATCTCTATTCCATGTCATTCCCTGAAGAACGATTCCAAGCAACGCCCACGGCCGGTGGGCCATACAGGGCCACTACCTCTTGCGTCAGGACATGGACACCAAACAAGTACATCACGCAGCCCTCTCTGTACGATCTCCGCTGCTTTCATTGGTCGTGTTCAACCCAGGCGATGGCACATGGACGAACTCGGCGCGAAAGACGGCGACATTCAGGTTGCTTCTCAGGCCGTATGGCCGTGAAGAATCTTCAAACCAAGGGGTATGTTTCATTTCTGCACTGGGAAGCTGATCGTATCTCCAGGCAAAATCATGCACGGAATCCTGATGAGTAGCGGTCTTCCTCACGTTCAAACTCTTTCAAATGCACCAATGGAAGCACTATTAGTGTCCCCAGGAGCAATACATTTGACATGAGAGAAGAATACGGAATACTTTAGACTCTGAATGACTTAGACATCCTACATCCCTACACAATGTACAAGAGCCTTTCACCGTGCCGAGTTCAACCTCAACACCCTCAGCTCGAGGTCTCGTTTGCGTCCGCTGTGCAGTGACGGACCTTAAACTTCTGGTCACTTCACCACGCCTTGTCGAGTGCTGTTTTCCACACGATTACTTCCAGCTTGACTCTGAAAATGTGATCCGCAGCTTAGAAACCCCAAAAGCCCCAAGAGTGACCCCACAGCAACGTGGTCCAAAAGCTGCTTTCTCATGCAAGGGGGGTGATATGCCCTTGCCCATGTCAGGCGTCCAAATCGAATGTGTATACACATATAATCACATGTGTATATATATATATGTGTGTGTATTACATATATCATCACTTTTGGCGTATAACAAAAATCTCCATCTGTGTCTTGCGGAGATCTGTGACAAACATGTCTTTCTAAAGGAAAGAAACTATCCAAACTGTATGATGGTGTCACGGTATTGCGGTGGCATATGATCCGTGGTGTTGTTAGGTGTTCACTCATCCAAACGTACCCCTGGGTTCCAGAAATGCAGTACCTGTTGAAATACCGGTCGTAAATTAGTGCTTCAAAGGAGTCTTTGGTTCATCCTTTTTAATGTTCGTTCTCCATGTCATGTTGATTGCAGGAAGTGGGTTGTCCAACCTCAGGGCTTTTCTGGATGAATGGCCAAAGCGATGATCCAGGGTTTCGGCACGGGATGGTAGCAAAATGGTGCATTGCTTGCTCAATGAAAGGCTTGCGCATTCCATGCTGGGCCTGCAAAAAAAAAGACTCAACATGACTCAACAACTCAACAAGCTCAAGAACTTGGTAGTGCGGCTCTGCGCACGCCACATAAAATACATTAAAATACCATAAAATCACTAGCAATGAGAATCAGTGGACTCCGCGGACCCAGCAAAAAAAAACACTTCAAATACTTTGCCTCGGACATAGACTGCGCACGTTTAAAGAGGGGCCGAATGCCACCAGGGGCGAGTCATGGCCTGCGCCACATGATTCGACCAAAGGCGCTGTGTGGCGCCTCCGGTCGCCTCAGGTCGCAGGGTGTTGAAAGACTTCTGACGTTGCCCAGCACTCCACGTGCGGATGACTAGTAGAGAGATTGATGGAGTTTGGTGAAATCCGTGGATCACGAGGTGCCACACTCCACTCGGGAGGAAAGTTCTGAAGTCACATGCACGCGAAATAAACCCGCATTTGTTTTCATCCGGCTGGCCAAGCTCAGCTGTCACTTGAAATCCTGCAGGTGGTAGTCAGCAATATTAAAGAACATCAGGCCATTTCGGTACATTTGCACACAAATGGACCCAGAACCTGCCGCTTCTGGATTTTTTTGTTTTGACTTCAGATCTTCTTCAGCACTTTCGTGTGGTGAGCTGATACTCGTGTAAGCGTACGACTGGACGCTCAAGAACTGTGAGAATTGTCATCACAGTGCATGTGCCAACTTGTCGAATTTTCAAAACTCCGGCTCTATGTGGAAACTCACACATGAGCCTTTCTGTTCGGAATTGTAAACTCATCCCACGAACAAGATGCACAACCATGTACCTTGACTTGATGCACAATGGCTCCTTGTGTCAGAATCCTGTATTGGTAGTCAAGAGATTCTAGACAGTAAAGACATGAGCTCAATTAAGCGACAAATCCTTTGAAAGCCGAAGCTTGACAAGTTGCAGCAGCGCCGTAGGAAGGAACACGGGGCGAGTGGTAAAGAGCTGCCGTCTTTGTGGCTTGTCGACTTCGATAAACGAATGTGTCAGCAGCATGACTGCAACCGAGGGAACTATAATGAACATGTCTTGAAAAATGAACATATATATATATAACATAACTCCTTTGAGAATCAGCCGTTTTCACGAAAAACATCTCCACATGCCTATTTGCGTTGCGTCTAGATCTATGTCAATCAGTCTGGGGCACTTCATGCTTTTGAGAGTGTTGACCCCAAAGCAGAGTGAAAGGAACAAGACAGTATACCATCAAGTTCCATCTCCAGGAACCCTTTCATACTCCTTAGATTAGACAAATTTATAAGTATAATTAAAC